GTAGTGTAGTGTAGTGTAGTGTAGGATACTGTAGTATAATAAGAGTGTGGGTAGTTCTAGAGGTTTTTAGTTGTCTGCTAACCTAAAGTTTGGCAGTTTGCATCCACCCAGTCACTCTGCACAAAAAGACCTGGCAAACTGCTTGGGTAGAGATCACAGCCAAGAAAACCCGATGAGCAGTTCTATTCTGTAACACACAGGGGCACCATGAGTCAGAATCAGCTTGATAGCAACAGTTTAAAAAATATATATATGTATTTTGGGTCCTAATGAGCTCTGGTAGTGTAGCGGTTACGAATCAAACTGCGAACCTCAAGGTCAGCAGTTCGAAACTACCAGCTGTTCCATGGGAGAAAGACGTGGCTTTCTGCTCCCGTAAAGTTTCACAGCCTAGGAAACCCTGTACAGGATCGCTATGAGTTGGAACCGACTCCACGGCACATAACCACCACCACCATACTATAAAACTAAGGCAGAATAAAAGGCTTCTAAACTCATACACTTAACAACAACAACAAACTCATGTAACTGTAATCCCAGAAGAATAGAGTGGAAGACAATAGAAATATAGTCATTAAAGAGGAATGCTGACAATCTTCCAGAAGCAAAGATTTAATTTCTCCAATTAGCAGTAGACTTCAAGAGCTGACCAGGATAAACAAAAATGGGTTAAAAATGCTGAAATAGCATTTTTACTATACTAGCTCTGGTAGCGTAGTGGTTACGAATCGGGCTGCGAACCGTAAGGTCAGCGGTTCGAAACTACCAGCTGCTCCGCGGGAGAAAGATGAGGCTCTCTACTCCCTTAAAGATTTACACCCTCGGAAACCCTGTACAGGGTCGCTATGGGTCGGAACCGACTCGACGGCACTTAACAACAACAACATCAACAGTACTAGTTACTTGTGCTGTCGAGTCGAGTCAGTTCCAACTCTTAAATGAATAGATACATTTCTAATAACATTTATTGAATAATTCTTTTTTTTTTTTTTCTCATTGATTTGTGGTGTCACCTTGTGGTAAATGAGTAATGGTCAAGTTTTGTAAACATGCCAGATGTAAGTGAAAAAAAAAATGCAATTCTTCGTTTTGTAGATTCTATGTGTAGGTATTAAAGTTATTAAATTTATTTGCAAAACTTCCATATGTCCTAACTGTCTACTAGGAATAGCATCTGGGTAATACACATATTTCCTTTCCTCTTTCCTAAATTTTAATATGATGGTGGTGGAAATGTATGGTGGAGTCAGTTCCAAGTCATACCCTCCTGTATAGAGTTTCCAAGACTGTAAATCTTTATGGGAGCAGAAAACCTCATGTTTTCCCCTCGGAGCAGCCATTAGATTTGATCTGCTTATTATATATATATATCTGTATATATACCTTAAAATCTATGTTGGGCATAGGATTGTTATGAATCAGATTCCTACCAGAGACCATACACAGAGATCAATTATAAACATACTGAAGACCAAATATTACAACCAAAACTTAAAAACTCTTAAAATACAAGAATATACTTTTATGAACATGAGGAAAAGAAAGGATTTCTAATTAAAGGCAAAAAAACAAAAAACAAAAAAACACAAACCATTAATAAAGTATAAAAACTTGTATAGAGTAAAATTAATCAACATCTAGTGATAGTTGGAGTCCTGGTGTGGCTCTGTGAATTAATGTGCTGG